AAGCACCAGCTGACCAGCCCCTCAAGAGTCACGTAGGATAATTGCCTAGGGTTTAGTGTCCAACTATTGTATTTATAGTCACTTAACCACTAAACACACAGTATTAACTTTAATTGCTACGCTTAGCATTTTAATCCCAAACTTTGGATTCTTAACCTACTCAATTTTACAAGAGTTATCATATTTTTATTTTATTTTTCGGAGCACCTTTCCGGTACGTGCTTTTCATAGCCAGTATCAGTTTCTGGCACCAGTTCTCATTATTTTAACTTGAAACTCGTTTTACAAGTCCTACAATTATTCTAATAATTATCATGTACTTTTTATAATTTTTCGGGATACTTTTTCGGTACGCATTTATACCGACTAGCAGAACCGGTATCTGCACTTTTCGTCACAAAAGCGACTTTCAGCATTATTACTCACTTACTATAATTATTAGAGCCTCAAAATAATTATTAGGGTCAATTATGAAATTATCTCATTAATCTCATAATTAACTGATTAATTTCCTTAATTAACGGTGCAGATTCTTACACTAGTCACTAATAAATATAAATTACTTGCACAATTTAGGGCATTTAATAAGATTAAAGTACCAAATTAGTGTTTCAGAGTACTGGTTAAAGAGTGTTTGATGTGATTACCAAAAAAAAAAAAAAAGAGTGTTTGATGTTTTTTTATTAAATACTTTTAATAAAATTGTAACAAAAGAAAACTTGTAATAATATAAAGAAGTAAGTATTAAATGCTTTGAAATTGGTAAGTAATAAATGTTTTCACATTTTATTGAATATTCTTCATTTTATAATATTAATATTTTAATCAAGGACACTCTTAAGTATTTGTTTTAATATTAAAAGGAAGCGACTTTTTTTTATTTGCACGAGTTGTTGTATCGCAAAACTCATAAAAATAAAAAGTGTTGCGTTGTACTAAAAAAAAAAGTGTTGTTGACGGTGTGAAGAATAAAAGTGAGAAAGAGAAAAAGTCATAAATCTCTATCTATAGAGCACCGATATCGATACGAGATATGAGACACGATACGACACTCTGACACGTTAATTTTAAAAAATATTAAATTTTGACACATTAGAACACATTTTGATATTAAATAATACTTTTAATATATGTTGCGTATATTATATTTAATATTCAATAATTTAACAAAAAATAAAGTTAAACTTATAATATTCATTAATTTTGTAAAAAAAAACATAAATACAAATATTTATATTAAATTCAATAAAATGATAATAGTAATGCAACGAATCTAATAGTTAGAACTAAAAACGCAACACAACGTAATCTTTGAACTTTTTTTTGAGTTTCTACAATGCGCGTTGGAGTGTCGAGAAGTGTCGGACACGACACGTTAAGATTCTTAAAGTGTCAGTGCTTCGTAAATCAGGATCATGATGATAGAAACAATCTAAATACAATGTGTAGCACCCGTTTAATTGTTTTTTTCAACATTTATCAAAAAGTTTCAAAATTTGACAAGATGATAACGCAATAGAAGTATGTAATATTAGGAAAGGGTTGTTCGAAGTGATACATATTTAATTTACATTCTTAAATTTAAATTTTTGTGAATGCAAAAACTTTTTTTGGAAGAGCTAGCATCATCATAATATGAATGTTCTCAATTTAAATAAAATTATCTTTCGTGGAAGACATGTATAATTTATAAAAAAAAATATGAAATCTTATTACTATTATAATAATAAAGAAATTCAGCAAGAGTATTATAAAATTATAAAACTATTATCATTCAATATTTAAAATTGATATGTTTAAACCATAATATCGTATAACTCGTTTCTCTGCCTTAATTATTTCTATATTGCTCTATATTCTATCTATCTAGATATTTTTAGGTTGTTGGACCTACTCATAATGTTATTCACATGTTCTGTTTCATAGATGGAATGGTAGGACCATAAAACGAAAGACTGCCATTTTTATCAGTAATTTTTTTTTTCTCGTTTTGCTATATTCATTGGAAAAATTGTAAATCTTCAAAACATTTAAAAATGGATACAAAAAAGCATACATAACATGCATAGTTAATAGGGTTTTATAATTCTCATCCAATATGAGAATTGAAATTTTCTTACATACTCTACGATTTTCGTGCTGACATAAATTCTACACATAATTTTTTCTAATATAAGAGTCTTACATATTTTTTATCTCTACAATATAAGATTTCAATTCTTACATAACTTGTAACTTGAGAATTATAAAATCCTAATTAATAACTAAACAATATGTAGTTTTATATAAAAATATGTCGTTATCCACTGCATTAACAATTTAAGTAAAATATATAATTAAAAGTTATAATTTCTACGTCTGGATAGTTAAAGAGGAACATTTGGTACAATAACTCTTTGGTTATTCTCGTATTTGCCAACATGGTTTCTCCACCATCTTTGCCCCACCACCACACCTGAAAAAATAAAAATAAAAAATGAATTCTTATTTTATTGTCATCAAAATCAAAGAAAGGATGTACTGCTTCCAGCCTTCCACCGTCATTAGAGAATGTGACTAATATTATATTTGTAGCCGACACTAATTTACACTAGCATTGCCCTGCACATGCACGATGCACCTCCTTGCATTCACTCCTATCTAGATTATAAAAAATCGAATTTTTCTAAAAAATATATCCACCTTACTTATGATTCAAAATAAAAATAGAATTTAATGTTTCTGTTTTTTACTCATAAAAAAATAAATCAATCTTACTAATCTTTTTTTTTTTTTGTAATGTGACTTATTCGCTTTTATGTGACTTATTCGCTTTTGTATGATTGTGATAAAAAAAAATTTACAATAAAAACAAAACATATTTTTCACAAAAATAATACAAACAACATAAAAATGTAATAATTGTAGCCCTGTACGGATTCTCCTTTTGCCCCTCTCATAATTTGTCATACCCTTTTTGATAGAGTGGCTCAATACACTTATACCAACTAACACTTTTCTCTTGTTTTTTTGGAATCCAACCCAAGCGAGAGTAGGTCAGGTTCCTCACTTTTGTATTAGTTGAAGTGCATGTGTGTTTAGATGTGTTTGTCAGAAACTGACAGCTATTTGCTTTTCAATCATGCAACAACCATGCTGCCAATTATACCCTTTGCCTATTTTCTTTAATTTCTTTTTTTTTTATTAATGAAAATCCCAATGTCCAATAATTAGAATGTAAATGGATTAGGCCAGCTTGTAGGGTTTATGACCTAGTCTATATTAAGTAAGTCTTGACCTATTATAAATAGTCAAATAGAACGAACATGTATAGACTTTAAAAAAAATTTATTTAGAAAGCAGGCTATAGGCATTTTTATACATGTCGGACCTAAAAAAATTTATTTAGAAAGCAGGCTATAGGTCAGCTTATATTATATTATTTATTTTAAATAAAATAAGTAAAATTATTATTTTAGTTATTTTTAAAGGATTTAATGTTTCTACCGTGAATACATATAAGTTATCTCTATTCACTCCCAAAACGACATCGTTTTGGGGTTGAATGATTAAAAAATTATAATTATAAAAACTATTATGACCCTGACATAAATTAAAATTACAAAAAAATTTGATTTCTATCCCAAAATAATATCATTTTTGGTTAAATAGACATAATTTATTTATATCTACTGCAAAAAAAAAATGAATCCTTTTTTTAATAATTGAATATTTAATAAACTTAAACCGACTAGCACACCTAGATCAATACTTTTATTTTTTAAATATAGATCAATCAGACATGTAATTTAGACTTACATAAGAGTAATAGGTGAGACTAGACATGAGTTTTTCTAACGGACCTGGACCTGAGTTATTTAAATCAAAGAATAACTTATTTATATCCCTACAAGGAAAGCACCCCTGAAGGTTGCTTCTACAAAAGAATTGCGTTTTTTTTTTTTGGTAGTTAAAGAATTGCGTTTTTTTTTTTTTGGTAGTTAAAGAATTGCGCTTTATTGCTTCTAAATTTAACTTCTTGTTATAGACAAACAAAACTATTATCATTATTATAATAATTGTTGTCATTACTATTATGTATACAGGACTCCAAACTCAAACCATTTTCAAAGGGGAAGTCATTTTCTCTTTTCTGGACTTTGCATAATTGTGTCATATAAAATTATTAATATAATTTTATTCATTAATTTAAGTTTTTAAGTTAAATTAATTTTTTATATGATATTAAAGTTTCGATATTATAAATTCGATCCTCATCAATTTTATTTAATTATTAATTAATTAAATCTTATAAATTTTTTTAACACAATTAAGTAGGATGTGTACATTATTCATCCTTCCAATTTAATAATAAAGTCTTTCGTGTTACTAATATATATATATAGTATTCAAAAAATATATATATATATATATATATATATATAAAACAATTAGTGTCAGTGGCTCTATGATTGTTACTTTCTACCTCGTGTTTTTTTAGTATGGGGGGTGGGTTCTCCCTCTAATGTCCTAGCTGTACCACACACTGATACAAACCAGTATAAACTCTCTTCATGCTCTTGTTGGGAAATTCATTTTGGTATGTGATTGCTGTCTTATTTGCTGTTCTTTTTCTTGTATTTGACAATTGCTACCAAAATTATCTTCAAAATCTGAATTATTTCTCAATGTACAATTATTTCTCTATTGGGATAGTCTATGATAAGACCTTATTTTATTTGTGAGAGAAAACAAAGAATAAATAAAATCATCTGGGTTCAAAGTTTGCTGCAAAATTTCCATCTCTGCAATTGTGGAATTCCCAAAAGGCCATACATTTATTTCTCTACTTCAGATTTGGCATTCCATCAGTTGTTACTTTCTGGGAAAACGTCTCCATTTTCCATTGTTTAACTGGGTCTTGAGGGAAAGGCTAAAAACGCTTCCTTTTTTCCCCATCTTCAAAACCCCATTTGGGTATGAGAGAGTGATGCATATTGAAGCACCCAAAACAACAAAAAATGGCAAATCTTGTTCCTGGGGTTCTTCTCAAGCTTATGCAGCACATGAACACTGACGTAAAAGTTTCTGGTGAACACAGGTCGTCTTTGTTGCAAGTTGTGAGCATTGTTCCAGCACTTGCAGGGGGTGATCTGTTCCCAAATCAAGGCTTTTATCTCAAGGTTTCTGATTCCTCACATGCCACCTATGTCTCTCTCCCTGATGAACACGATGATCTCATCCTCAGTGACAAGATTCAACTGGGTCAGTATGTTTTTGTTGATCGGTTGGAGGCAGCTTCACCGGTTCCTATTCTTCATGGTGTTAGGCCTGTACCTGGGAGACACGCTTGTGTTGGAACCCCTGAGGACATTGTTGCAACTCACTCACTTGGGTTCCTTAGTAATGCTAACGTTAACAAGAACAGTGTTTGTTCAAAGTCTCCTAGGAAAGTGTTGGACAATCATCATGTTGGGGAGAAGGAGAAGAAGGAGAAAGTAGGATTAAATGCTGGTGGTGTTAATGAAGAGCAATTAGACAAGAAACCAGTGGTTTTTGCTAGATGTAAACCTCAGACAAGAAAATCAGCACTCAATGTTGATGATGTGAAGAAGGAACCATTGGTAAGATTAAAGTCCTTGAATTCACGGTCTATTCCTTCTTCCCCAAGTAGTTGCTATTCATTGCCTACTTCTTTTGAGAAATTTGCCAATGGGGTAAAGCAGCAAGTAAATATCAAGGGAGTGGAAAAGCTAACTGTTAAGGTGGGAGTGGTGGAGACAGGAAAGGGTGTCCGTGGTGTTAGTCCCACTGGGAAGAGGATTGCAGTGGGAAACCCTATCAGAAATTTGGTTCATGGCATTGAGCTTGGGGCTAAGGCTCTGCGTAAGAGCTGGGAAGGGAGTATGGAAGTCAAGAATAAAGAGACATCCAAAGTAAGGACGACAAAGTTTGATCCTAAGCCTGAAGTTCGTAGCTCAGTAAGTGTGATTTACAATTTGTCTTTTCTTAATAACTCTTAATGTCAAACATAAATACTTGTTTTGTTGTATTTAATTTCCTGCAATAATGATAATCTGCTATACATGTGGTGTCACTCTGAGATATCTGTATTTCATTGCCTTTATCTTTTGAGTCAATTAGACAATTATGTTCTCCCTTTCACTTTATGGCTTTCAGACTCCTAGGAGAAGTACTTCAAGTGAAAAGTTGTCCTCTAAAGAGGAGAGCAAGGTACAGGCTCCAACAAAGTCCTCAAAGGAAGAGCACAGGACTCAAACATCTATTAAAAAAGTTTTTGCTAATGGGACTATGGAAGAACAAGAAAAGTCAAATAAGCAAAGAATTTCTGTTGGAAAGAAATCATCAGAAGTTTGCAACACTGGACTCCCTGGAAACTTGGTTAAAGTTTCTCCAAATAGTAGAAAAGTGACAGATGCAAGTGTCCAATGGGCTTCACTCCCATCATCTATTGCAAAGCTTGGGAAGGTATATCCCTTGAAAACTCCTTGGTTTTTGGTATTAGCTTCTTTGATTCTTAGCTGTCAAAGTGGATACTGCTGCGTGCTGAAGACAATTGTATGCAATTTTCACTTGCAATTTTCATTGACATGTTTTTGAATTTGGTTAAAATAATGAGGAACTGTCTGAAGATGCTATCTGTTATGACTTGTAAGTTTTGTACTTATTCTCATTTAGTCTATTAGCACCTTTCCCACTTTTAAGGGCAAGGTGGGAGAGTAAAGCTAAATGAGACAAATTCAACCAGGTGCTTCTTTGTGTCGTTAAATAAACAGGTATATCATGAGTTTTATTAAACGTCATGACATCATAAATACATATATAGTAAGTATGGAGCAAATATATTGCCGGATCATGTGATTGGTTTATACTTTGGTTTTCCGAGTCCGACATAGTAAAATATTTTCTGCCCATGTTTCCAATACCATGTCCCTACCCTCTGGATGCATTATTTATTAGATTATCTGGGTTGTTGAATCCTGTAGTTCGGATAAGAAGTTCTGTGAATGTCATTTTACATTATTATTTTTTGTTTTCAAATCTGTGACAGGAAGTAATGAAGCACAGAGATGTAGCACAGATGGCAGCAACTGAGGCTATACAAGAGGCTGCCGCTGCTGAGAGTTTGCTGCAATGTCTAAGGTATAGTCATGTGAATGACATTGCTCAATTCTTATGGACTTAGAGTTGTTTAGACTTCAGATCAGAACTTCAAGATATATAGTGTTTCTCAATATTGTTGAGATTTTGGACTGCTCATGTCAGGAAATTGCAGTTTAGATTTGAAACAGAGATACATTACTAATATAGGTTTTTGTAGTAAATTAGTTATCTATTGAAGCAAAGCATCTCTAGAGGATATGCAAAAAATAAAACCAGTGGTTTATACTGATACCAATGAAGTAATGTTGATACTTTTCGATGAACAATGTGCAATGTTTGTTTTGTTGTCTATACAGTCATCTGACAATGCCAACATGAATATTGAATCTGATGAATTTGGGATGACAGCTTCAGTCCTAAACTTTTGTAATAGCAATGCCACGTATGGATTTTCTTTTTCATTTTGTCCTGGTTAATAATTTTTTGTGCACCTCTTGATACAGATTTAAATATTTATTTCTAAATCCATTCATGATACTAATAATTTAGTAACTTCTAGGACCAAAAAAGGGTGGGGCCATGGGAGATAGGATCGATATTGGATCTAAGGCTATATGGGGTCTTACGTGTGTTTTGACATGTATGAATCTTGGCATTTGTATTCATCATGGAGATTTATTGGATACTTGTTGGAGATATGGAGATAACAGTGAAGAACAATGTGTATGAAATATGAATACAATCCATGTTAAACTAATTGGCCTATATTTTGCTGAAATGAAAGGATGACTTTGAATTTTTTATTGTCATGTCATATACACATTTCACAAGACTGCTGAAAGTATTGTATATTAATTAATCTTTAGGTAAGCTAGTGAATCATACAGCCAGATTCAGGTTTAACCATAGATGTTTTATGGACATCTTCTACCACAACTATTTTCTTATGTTGATACTATGTTGTTTCTAATACTTTTTTGGAATGTTTATGGCAGTGTATATGCGGAGCTAAGTAATTCTTCCAAGGAACAAAACCCGCAGCCTGCAGTAGAGCAGTTTTTAACTCTTCATGCTAGCCTGAATAGTCTGCAGGCAATTGCTGACTCCTTATCTAAACCCATTCCAGATGGTTCATCTCCAGATAATGAAAGAAGCACAACTGAAGAAGCACTGAAAATAAAATCAGATAGACAAAAGCTTGCAGCTTCTTGGGTCCAGGCAGCCTTAGCCACCAATCTATCATCCTTTTCTGTTTTTACCCGAGAACCTCTATCATCCAGGCTTCCAGTGTCAAGTAATTCTCAAAACCAAAAAAATATCCTGGGAAATAAACCAATGCTAGTCCTTGAAAATTCAAGTCAAGATGCTTCATCAAAATCTCATGGAAAAACACGTCAGACGGCTAATTCCAAGCATGCCTTACAAGGGACTCCTCGCAAATCAGGTGATGGGTTAGCAAATGGGCATAAGCAGCTAGTCCAACCACTTCCCCAGTGGGTTAAAGGAAATGGCCTTGATGAGTTGGTTAGTTTGGCTGACATGATGCAATTGCGGTCCCGGGACTGGTTTTTGGGATTTGTTGAGAGATTCTTGGACAGTGATGGAGACACTAGCTTGTCAAATAATGGCCAAATAGCAGGTATGCTCACTCAACTTAAAAGTGTAAACGATTGGTTGGATGAGATAGGTTCTAACAAGAATGAAGGAGAATCATGCCAGACACCAGCAGATACAATTGACCGGCTGAGGAAGAAGATATATGAATATCTTCTCACACATGTTGAATCTGCTGCTGCTGCACTCAGTAGTGGATCACAATCATCACCTAGGATCCAAATAACAGAGATTAAAGCCAAAAGGTGATAAGTACATAGTTTAGGAGGAAACTTGGTCACCAAAAGTTGTCCAAGGAGCTAGGTATCCCCTCCCTTCACACACCCTGAAAACATAATCCTCCTCTTCCATTGATCTTTTTGTACATAAATCCTACATGGGTTTGAGGTGTAGATGGAGTGCTAGTTATTTATCTGGGGAGGTAGCAAATGTGATTTATAATATATGAGGATTTTCTTTTCTTTTCCTTTTACTAAGTTATTGTTTAGATGAAATTATACAAATTGAAACAGTGGCAGATATAAGCAGAGATGAACTTTGCTAGTGTCCTGCCTTGAATGTGGTTCGTTGTAATTTTTTACACCAATAACGAGCATATGGTTATCAATACTTGACAGTTATATAACTTGTGGTGCCAAACTGTAAAACAGAAAGAAAAACCAGTAAATGTCAATCTTCTGGACTTTACCCTAGTAGAACAAAATGCAACATAAGAATGAGACCTAGTTATAGAATAGAAAAATGAATTGCATGCAGTTAAGGTATTACCAAATTGATGGATATTAAACTATTGCAGGTATATATATCAATTTTTGTGTGTCATGTCACCAAATTGTTACGGACCTTGAGATCACCACCTCAAAAGCTAGCTCAAAGGGTGGGAGTGCTTAAGACCTTTTAAATCCCACATTAGTTGTATACGTAACCAATGTGGTACTCGTAACATTGCCACCCCCTTTAAGGGCCGACGTCCACGGCGGCTTTCACTCTATCGACACTGGCCCGACGATAGCTCTTTCCCCCTTTGGGCGGCTTCATTCACCTACCAGTATTCAGTGCCCAAAGGCACCTTAATCCAGCCTTTAGGTAGCCCTTTCCGTGGCCTCAACTCTCAATGAAAGCACCAGTTGTTACGGACCTTGAGATCACCACCTCAAAAGTTAGCTCAAAGGGTGAGAGTGCCCAAGGCCTTTTAAACCACACATTAGTTGTATAGGCAACCAATGTGGTACTCGTAACAATATTAAACTATAGCAGGTATATATATCAATTTTTGTGTGTCATGTCACCTTAAAGAACAAGTTCATATAATTCCACGAAAGCAACAAAGCCACGTGAAGGAACAACAACAATTGGGTCTTAATGCAAATTTTTTTTTGATTAAATGCAAGTTGATACTAATTAAATGTTACATTAGAGTCTTTTAATAAAATAAATAAAGCTGCATTGCTGCCACATGATATCACTTGGTGAAAGGAATAACCTCACATGGGCTAACTATGCATGCATGCGGACATTGGCCCAGATGGCCTTTGTTTTTAAAGACGTCGTTTGTCCCTCCTTTATCGTTTCACACACACTGTTTCTCATTTCGCTTTCACTATTTATTTTATTTTTTTCTTCTGTCCAAGTCTAACAATAGTGACTTCAAGTGGTTTTTGTTTTCTTGCAAATTTTCATGTTCTCATCTTAAAGTGGTTGTAACCTGAATTACATTGTCCCACCCATTAAAAGCTTCATTTAGGTTAGTAATATTAATGTATTTTTTTTTTGAAAAACTTCAATAATATTTTGTTACTTAGGTTTAGGATAATATATATCAAAATATGTCTTTCTTTGTAACAATGTCATGTAAAAATATTGGATTGAAAAAAGACTATGTTGTCTAGTGGTGGAGCCAGCCCAAAAATTTAGGTAGTGCTAAAAAATTTGACATATCAAATTATCAAAATATTTATCGTAATTACACAAATTTATCAGAAAAAATTTATTATAAATTCTATAATAGTTATCTAAATTATTTATTTAATAATGTCACATAACATTAAAAATTCAAATAAACAATTGTCAATGATTATATATCAAAGCAAACATATAAAAAGGAACTAACATTTCCGGTAACCATTTCAAACATAAGAATTTCACTTTCGTCCCATAGCATAATAAGTAATGAATTAAGCATTATCCTAAGGATATGAAAGTACACCAATATAATAATTATATGTATAATAATATTTAATAAATAATTTAAAATATAATAAAAAACAGAAACGATGGATTATGAATAATAATTACCTATTAATTACCATTACAAAATCTTTTTTTTTTTTGAAAAGAAACTCTATAAATGTGTTATCAAACATTTTAAATTATTTAACCAATTGATGGGCTAGCCGAAACTCCAAAGGAAAAAAAGAAAAAAAAATGAATCATTAATTGTCATAAATAAGTTGACCTCAAAAATTGACTCAAGCATTATTTCAACAAGCTATATTTCACATGTGGTTCAATTACCCATAAAACAAGTTCAATCTAAAACCATTTGGATTCGGTATCCTATTGATACATTCCAAGCACATCTTCAAATACTAATCTCAAGACATCAAGGTGTAAGTTTAAAATATACTATTTGTCATGGGTCCACATTTGGTACAATATTAAATGGCTTAGACCTTTTATCAAACGCAAAATGCGCTAACACAAATATCAAACAATCAGCCAAGAGTCTCATCAATGCTGCTCAGACTTGAAATAAGTATGGCCTTATACATCAACCATTGTATGTGAAATCAAACAAGATTAAAAAAAAAAAATATTTACTTACAAATATTTGTTAGCACAGTAGAATAGAAATTTGGAGAAAAAGTCCCTAAGGTGAGAACAACAAGGTTACAAGGTGATGATTCCTTTTATTTGAACTTCACTAACCATTCCACAAAATATGATCTTTTTCTCCTCGGATAGCTTCAAGGTGATGATTGTTTGTACTTCAACTACCAGAGTTTGTGGAGAAGAAGACGACTTTTGGAACTTGCTGCCAACAACAATGATGGTGGGGATGTGTCTATTTATGGCTAAGAAGTGTATCTCTTTATAATTCTACTCATTTTCTCCTCCGATTGACACATCACTTTATATTTTTTCTTCCTTAATCTTACGCTCTTTGTCTCCCTGAGGGCTCAACTTGGTCTCCTTCTTTTATTTTCTCTATTATTATCTCTGAAAACTGTTCTTATTTTTTAAACTCCTATTTTATCTTTTCTTCCTTTTTGCTCAACAAACGGAGGACAAAAGCAGAAATGATTTTCTCCAATTTTCCTCTTTTGTGAATTATTTTTTGTCATTTCATTTTCCCTCTTCTGGCCTTTGCCCTGATACTCACTGATTAATCTTCTTTTGTTTCTTCTCCTTTTTCTTTCAGATTGGTAGAAGAGAAAGTAATGCATGGGTCCTCTTCCATTACTCTTCTGATGAATGAAACTTCATTTTTCATCTCTCTCCAGCGTCCGCATTTTTCCTTTATTCAATTGGTCAAAGTTTTGGGATGGTAAAAAAATAAAATAAAAAGATGGACAAAAGGTAATGTTCACAGCTTCATTTGAAAGGCAGTTGGTGCTAAGGTACCATGCTTTTATCCATTGACCCAAGCTTTTATCCATTGACTCATGCTTTTAATTTGAAAGGCAATTGGTGCCAAGGTACCACTAGGCACCAATATGGCTCCGCCACTATGTCTATGTTTCTAGTTCTTGTTATCTTTCCTGTTCATGCACTTAACTTTTATGAATAAAAGAATAATAGAAATAGAATCATGCAAAAAAAAAAAATTAGTAAATACTAAATAGGAAAGGAACTAGCCCCAACCATAGAAAAATTAAACAGTACACAAACGATAGAAATATAATCATGCAATTTTAATATCTAGATTTGCTTTCATGGCTTCTGTCAGAAAAGTATATAAAAGTTGTTAAATGAAGTTACATTAATGGTTTAAATACTTTTCTAACACGCCCTATTACATGAGAGTCCGTTGGATATGAAGGGTGGATAATGCACAGGCTCACCTATCTGTGCTAAGAAATTCCACAAGAGAAAGTGAGGGGCGATGAGGATCGAACCCGTGACACCGAGGCTCCATGTAAACCACCAATTCAACCCAAAAGTTTAAGCTGGTGGATAAGGACTTTTTAATGGTTTATACTATTCTCTAACATGCCCCGCACACAAGAGCCCATTGGGCTTGAAGGGTGGACAATGCACAGGTCACCTACCTATGCTAAGAAACTCCACAAGACTTGATTAATTATTAATTAAATGGATGGCGGTGAGTATCAAACCCATGACACAGAGACTTTGATATCATATAAAGAATTGATTCAATCCAAAAGCTTAAGCTGATGGATGAGACTATATTAATGATTTAAAATATTTCTAACACACCCCTTCATACGAGAGTCCACTAAGCTTAAAGGGTGGACAATACACAGGTTCACCTAGGTGAGAATCAAACTTGTGACCACTTGATCACTGAGGTTCTGATACCGTGTAAAGAACCAATTCAACCCAAAAGCTTAAGCTTGTGGGTGAGGGCTTCTTAATGGTTTATACTATTCTCTAACAGCTTCAATATGTTTTTCTTTCTCTATTGGTTTCTTTACGTATTATCATGTAATCAGCAATGCCCAATCTTGCCTTGTTACACAACTATTAATGCACTTACATTTGACCTATTGCATATGGCTTAACCACTGATTCAGGAAGCTCAGAGTCAATCATAATTGTGGTCCAATAAGTATGACTTAATTGTTAAAAGAAGCAGTAATTTGAAATATAACAAATTACGATCAAATTCAAATCCAAATGAAGCAACATATATGATTGTGATTTGTTTGACAAAAAAAGGAAAACAACACATTTGACATAACTTGAGATCTAAGATTTGGGACGTGTTTTAAATGATTTAATTATAATTATTTATTTTTTAGACGTTAATAACTGTTATATTTATTTTAGAAAGTTTTCTTATTTTTAGTATTTTAGATTTTGAATTTTGGATCAATTTGTAATTAGTTTATAAAAGGGTGCTTAAGACTCTTATTCTAGAAGTTGAACTTTGTTATATTTGTTAATAGAAATTGAGAACTGGAGGATTACTCTTTTATGAAATCCTAACTTTCTGTTTAGCCATCTTTTCTATGCGCTTTCAGCATTATTTGGTATCAGAGCATTAGGTTGCTTTCAAACAATGGCTGAACAGAATCGTAGAGGTCATCGATGGCGGAGTCGTGAAAGGTTGCTTTCAAACATCAGTATTATTCTTGTGTCATTGATCAATACCCATAAGCTTCAACTTGTATAATCTGTACTTCAAGAGTACAAATCCATTTCTAAACACTCTCATTCTGTTTATTTGAGTTGAGGGTAGTGAGAACCTAGTGTAAAGGTTGCTCATAGCCTAAGAAAGTGAGTGGAAGTGTAAGGGTTTCAAGAACCAAAAGTCTTGAAGGTTGTAGTGGTTTGTCAAGCACCCTTGAAGCTTGATCATTAGTGGAAAGTTGAACGGGCGGCTTCAATCTGGACGTAGGTCACGGTGTTGGTGACCGAACCAGGATATATAGTGTTTGCAATCTCTCTAACCCTTTATCTCGTTACATTAGCATTATTTGATTACTTGAGCTTATTTAAATTTACACTTTGCATACTATTTGTTTGTATTGATTTCTATTCTCTTAGCCTTGCTTGTGTATAAACCATATTAATTCAAGAAAATCTTTTTCGAGAAAGAAAGTGAGGCATTTTGCGAAAATATTTTTAAAACTCAATTCACCCCCCTCTTGAGTTTGAGGCCACTTGTCCAACAGCAACCGCGTCAGATAGATTCGCATGCCATAGAAAGTGAAGAGCTCAGAAGGCGGATCCAAGATTTGAAGCAACAACTTGTGGAGGCGCAGAGCATGAAAATCCAATTTTGGAGCAACTACTTGTGCGGGCGCAGAGCAATAAAATTCAAGATTTGGAGCGACAATTTGTGAGGGCCCATATCGAGAAAATTCAAATTCTGAAGAGAGACCTTGTGGAGGCGCAGAACACTAAAATTCAACATTTGGAGCAGCGACTTGTGTGGACAAAGTTAGACATCCAATCCGAAGGAGGAATGAAATTAGAGGATGCATCTGATGACGAAGAGGAGGACGTAAATCCCTTGGGAATTCTAAACCAGGGATGAAATTGGGAAGTATGACCTAGAAATCAGTCCACTTTTCAAGAAATTGAGATGCGACTCAACATTCCTAACTTTGAAGTTTATGATCATAATCCAGTTTATGATGATTATTCGATCTATGATGATAATCCAATTTATGATGATTATCCAAATTAGGATAATTATCCGATTTATGATGATTATCCAATCTAGATGATTATTTAATTAATGATAAATCTAATTGGGAATTAGATAATGGAGATTTAATCGAGCAAGAATTGTCATTTCAGTTTCTACCTAAAGAGATTGAGATTAGTGAAAAAAAGAAGATTCAGGGATGAATCTTTTCCTAACAGGGGAGAATGATGCACTTACAGTTGGTCCATTGCATATGTGGCTCAACCATTGATTCAGGAAGCTCAGAGTCAACCAGAATTGTGGTCCAATAAGTATGACTCAATTGTTAAAAGAAGCAGTGATTTGAACTATAATAAATTATGATCAAATCCAAGTCTAAATAAAGCAATATATATGATTGTGATTTGTTTGACAAGAAAAGGAAAGCAACACATTTAACATGATTTGAGAACTAAGATTTGGGACAAGTTTTGAATGATTTAATTATAATTATTTATTTATTTTTAGAAGTTAATAACTATTATTTTTATTTTAGGAAGTTTTCTTATTTTTAGGATTTTATATATTGAATTTTGGATCAATTTGTAATTAGTCTATAAAAGGGTGCTTAAAACCCTCATTCTAGGAATTGAATTTTGTTATATTCGTTAATAGAAATTGAAAACCGGAGGGTTACTCTTTTATGAAATCCTAATTTTCTGTTTAGCCACTTTTTCTATGCGCTTTCGGCATTAGCTATATTTGGATGCCCTTCTGGCTTGTATATCCAAACTGGTTCAAACTAATTCAGAACTGATTATAAATGATAACACTTTTAAACCGGTTCAGAAATATAAACCAATTCAAATAAAATAAATAATTCAATTTTTTGGACCAACCAATCCTGTTCGGTTCAGAAAAATCTGATTTGAGTAAAACCATGTTCACTCTTCCTTGCTAGGTCACGCTACGCCATGCAGTGTTATTGCAATTTCACTTATATTAAAATAACTTATGTATTCGATTCTTGGGCCAGAGGTGATATCCTTACACTCTAAACCTTGGTTGGGGATTAGACTTGTCTTCTCTCCGATGACAACTGTTCCATGCTGAAGAAGGGGGTTTACATACTTAACGATTGCATCTAACTCAGTTTCAACGATACTCTACAAAAAGGAGGAAATCCACCTTGGCGTGGACTTAGTACTCCTTGGAATAACATATGGCATAAAAGAATAACAAGCTTTGGGATCCCTGGCCAGAACCCGTTTCACTAATAATTTATTTCCATACTATTTCAAATGCGAAATTAATGTGTAACTTTATTCTATATATGTCTTAATATTTGAGTTTCTATTCTGGTTAACGAAGGAGAAACCAAATCGGTAACCGGGTCAAACTAAAAATAAAGTTATTTAGACGATAATATTTTTTTTTATAACCTGGAATCCTCGTTCAACCTCCTAGGGTTACTTTATCCTCAGAGTACGACCCAAAGGTTAGCATCTCATTAGAACAACGGGTGCATTGAGCTTCGCCACCGGAGGAAGGATGAGACTAATCTCCTTCGAGGAGAGAGACACGTTCTCTAGCCCTCAAATATTTTCCAAGAATTTGCTTGAGATATGGTTTGCACCCCTGACCCAAACAAATCCTTAGAAGCTCAGTTGTCAACTGAGCTATCCTTGGGGGTTAGACGATAACATTTTAGGGGTTTGTATTTGTCATTTAACATGACACAACAAACTTTCCTACGCACACAATATTTTGTGGGGCCCATATTTTTTGAAGAAAAAATAAAAAAGAAAAATTACGGCACGCAAAACGAGTCTCTATAACATTACACAATCACTTTTCTTACAACATAACTCTTATAAAATCCAACATTTTAATGATGGAATCAATTAATCTCATATTGCATGAGATAATTATCTCATGCAACAGAGATAAAATAGTGAGGTCCACTATTTTTTTTAAAAAGAAAAAAAAAATAGTGGACTCCACTCTTTTGTCTAACATAAGATAATTATTTCTCTTTCAATGATACGTGAGTTTGAACAAAAAAGAGAGGAAGAAGAGAGAATCAAGGTCCAATTATTTGTTTTCAAATATGAAAATTGTTGGCGGACGACCAGAGTAAAGGTTGAAATTTGGAATAAGAAGCTTTCTTTTAACCGTTTTTATGTTAAAAAAAAACCTTTTTCGTAAGTCTAAAAAAGTAACAAAAAATGAATTGTGTGTGTGTCCGTTCTTTTTTTAAGCATTTTAACACTTTTCTCATCCGTAGATACTAAGGCTCTGTTTGATTGTTGTTTTGAAAAACAGTTTTTTAATTTTCAGAACAAAAAAATAAAAAAAACTTATTTAGTAAGGTCTGTTTTATAAAAAATGTTTTGAAAACTATAACTGTTTTTTTTTTATTTTTAGAATCAAATTTAGAGAACATGTCTGAATTATTTTTGTTTTCTATTTTGGTTTTTAACTTTCAAAATTAAATAAATATAGAAAACAACTGTTTTCATAACTATTTTACAAAACAGTTTTAAGAACAAAAAAATCAGAACACAATCAAACAGACGTTAAAATACACTCTTTTAGTGCTTGTTTGAAATCTATCTTACCAGATAATTTTTTAATTTTTTTAAAAAAAATTAAAAAATGTAACTGTTTTTCTTATTTTTAAAATCAAATTTAAACAATATATATGAGTTATTTTTATTTTCTGTTTTAATTTTTAACTTTTAAAACAAAAAATAATAAAAAAATACCTATTTTCGTAACTATTCTATAAAATATTAAAAAAAAAACAAAATACAATCAAACAACTACAAAAACACTCTTTCAATTATTATTCATTACTCCTTATTTTTTTAAAGTCAACTATCTCTCACTATTGGTCACATTCTTTAATTATTAACTTATAAATAACGTGACTTAACTATTATTTTTGGAAAAAATATTTCTACACTCGTTACAAATTTTTTTATCTGCCACACACAATTAATCCTTGAAGTATATAGGGAAATTCTATTACATGACCATTCCTTTTTTTTATGTGATCCTCTGATTATGAGAGTGACGGACAAACTTTCTTGGGTCTGCGTAGAAGTTAAACCATTATTATTATTAGATTGATATATAGTTTAGGGAAATGGATGGCGATGGATGGCGTCATGTGTAATTTAATATGATCATGTCACATAAGAAGATTTTAATTATTAATAATTAAATTAACGGTGATGATTGTGTAACTTCCTATCTTTATTTTTTTTTTCTCTCTTCCCTTATCACTATTAACTCACTCATTTATGATTATGATTAGCTCACAAGACATGATCATATGTTAATTAGCACACGACAAGATGCACCCATAGTTTAGCAGAATATTTTAATGTGGAAGAAAGCAAGGAGATGTTCCAGAAAGTACTATTCCTATTTTAAACATCCTCTGCTCTAAATTTGAAGCAACTTCAGCGGACACTGTCTGTCTGAGATGGGCACTGCCACTCATCTTGTGAAGCTCTTGCTCTTCCTTCTAACTTTTCATTCTTCCTTAGCTGAAGTTTTCTTTGAAGAAAGATTCGAAGGTAATACTGTTCCTTCAACTCCATTATGTTCAACTTAGATTCCTTAAGGTTACCCTTATTCTTTTTGGGGTTTCCTCATTCCTACCTCTTTGCTTCTTTTTTTCTGTTCTGTATACAATTTCAGTTAATTTGGTTGATTCTGTCGCAACAGAACTAGTTTCTAATTAGTTAACATTGATCATGTGAAAAAAAAAATAGATGGGTTTAAGAGTCGTTGGGTTTTATCCGATTGGAAAAGGAGTGAAGGAAAAGCTGGTACCTTTAAGCACACAGCAGGAAAATGGCCTGGAGATCCTGATGACAAAGGTTAACACAATCATCTCAATATCTATAATCTATCTTGGTTCTTTATTAATCTAGTGTGGTTTGACCAATGTCCTTAGTTATTTTAGTTTTGGTTTGATCACAATTATCCGACCATTCTTGCAGGTATACAGACATATAATGACGCCAAGCATTTTGCCATATCTGCAAAGATACCAGAGTTGAGCAATCAGAACAGAACCTTGGTGGTTCAGTATTCCATTAGATTTGAGCAGGACATTGAATGTGGGGGTGGTTACATCAAACTTCTTTCTGGTTATGTCAATCAGAAGAAGTTTGGAGGTGATACTCCTTATAGGTACGTTGGTTTCTTATGCAATACATTTTCCTTGTTTCATGGTTTGTGATTTAGAAATTCTTCAACTTGGTATTTTATTTGTGAAAGGATCCATTTTGAAGAATATGCTGAGTTTAGACCATCGTTGCTGATGATCACAATGATAAGTTTTATGCTTGTTCTGTTTCTTTTATGCCTCCATCTTTTTCACCACTCTTTTAACTAGTCATGTAATCGATGAGAGGTATACTAAATATCTACTTGTGATTAAATGAAAGGATACTTCAATGAGGAATCTATATGCTAACTTGGTTGAAAAAAGATGTGCTTTATAGAAATATTTCACTTTCACACTTAATGGCTACTTTGCTATATGTCAATGCTCCTTTTTCCCCCTTAACATTAATTGAAGTGAAAATTCAACTCGTTTAATGTCGAAGAAATCTATGCTTCACTGTTTTAGTTGGTCTGTAACTATATGGGGAGGAGTCAACTGATTGGACTTGCTTACTGCAGTTTGATGCTTGGACCAGATTTATGTGGCTCACAGACAAAGAAGCTCCACGTTATACTGTCCTATCAGGGGCAGAATTACCCTATTAGAAAGGATCTTCAATGCGAAACAGACAAATTGACTCATTTCTATACATTTATTCTAAGGCCTGATGCCTCTTATAGTGTCCTTGTTGATAATCGAGAAAGAGATTCTGGAAGCATGTATACAGATTGGGACATCCTTCCTCCAAGGAAAATCAAGGATGTCAATGCTAAAAAGGTATAACTTTTGGATTAGAGTTAGCGGGTTTGCATGCATTTGTGCCTTTTGTCTTATTTGAATTCTGAATATGTGTTATTGCAATGTTAAGATGATGAGCTGCAATGTTATTAGTTATTGCTGTCTGGGTCTCAAAGGTCAACATTCAAAAACAAACAAACATTCTATGGATTCTCTAATTGATACAAGGGACATTTTGGTTCTTTTCATTATCTGCTTTATCGATCAATCTACCTTTCTTGTAAAACTTCTTATTTTCCCTATTGCAGCCAGCAGACTGGGATGATAGAGAGTACATTGAAGACCCTAATGATGTCAAACCAGAGGTACGTATAAGTCTTGTCATAAATGGTATCAAACTTTTGCTGATACTCCTTATCTTTCTCTCAGTCCTTATATGTATTAGATTCTTTACTCTTGGAGGAAACAGAAAGTAGATTCTAATAAGTATAGAACATCAATTTGACAATTTTTTTTGTTTTTTAAAATTAATGTCTGACCTCTGTTAAAAGGTATAGGTGACACATAATGTCACTGCGATTTTTAGTTGTTATATTTTGACTCGTATGCTTCTATTTGTCTTGATATTGCAGGGATATGATTCAGTTCCAGCTGAAATTCCTGATCCAAAAGCCAGGAAGGTTCATTTGTTTACTGCATATTTTGAATTTAATAAAAAAAGGTTAATAAATATGTAATTGGATGGTAAGATGACTGAAGACTTAATTTGGCATGGGCTTATGAATGCTCTTTTCCTTTTTTCTTCTTGTTTAATTTTTTGTTTGAGTAGCCTGTTGACTGGGATGATGAAGATGATGGACTATGGAAGCCCCCCAAAATTCCTAATCCAGCATACAAAGGACCATGGAAACGCAAGGTTCTTCAAGCTACTCACTAAAAGTTGAATCCATATTCATATATCTTGGTTTCTAATTTTGGAAAAATTGTTAAACCCAGAAAATCAAGAACCCCAACTACAAGGGAAAGTGGAAGATTCCATGGATTGACAACCCAGGTAGACTTATTTTATAAGCGGGTGATATCCAAGATTAGAATCTAGAAATAAGCTTCAAAGCATTGATTGGGCGGTAAAGACAAGTGAAATCACTTGCTCATATTTTTTAGGCTTTATCATTTTTGTTTGTGTTAACTTGCATCCATTGCATATATCAAGTATGCTGACATTATAATGTTAAATGGACTAATAATTTTAGATTTTTGAAAGTTCTAGGGGGCTAGGGAAATTTGATTAGACATTTAAAAAATTATAAAATGGTATTCATATTGTTTTCACTAGTTGGCTACTAGCTTATCAATTATTTAAGTAATTAATATCCTACACCTATGTAAGCCTCTGCATGAATCTTATGCAAACATATAGTGAAATCTATAATAACTAGCGTAAACTGTGAAGAATCTAAATCTTTTAGGGCCTGTTTGGAGCACCTGATAAAGAAGATAGGATATGATAACTTATCATATCCTACTTTTATCTCTTGTTTGGTGGGTCAATAGGATATAATTAGCTTATCCTATTGTCTCATTTTATTCTATCCAATACATGATTTCTTATTCTATGGGGGGAGCTGAGTTAGGATTCAACAGGATAGGATATCAATATTGAATACCCAATATATCCCCACGCTACCCAATATATTTGTATTTATTGTATTATATTTTGTTTTTTTCTTCTTCTTTCTCCTTCTACATAATCTTATCAGATTGCTTGCTAATCAGGTGCTCATCAAACACAGGACATGATATAGGCTTATTAGCCTCATATCATATCCTACCCTTATCAGCATCATATCATATCCTACTCTTATCCTATCCTGTCCACCAAACAGGCCCTTAGACATACCAAAAACTTATACGCAGCATTTGGTGTAGTCAGCATCTCTGAGATGTCTCTTTCGCCATTCTTTTCTTGCTCCTGAAACTTTATGAATATCATCTCTGATAATCAATTTTGTCTTTCGGATCCTGTTTCCTGCAGAATTTGAGGATGATCCTGATCTTTATGTGCTGAAACCAATAAAGTATGTGGGCATTGAAGTGTGGCAGGTGTGTGTCTGTTTTATTATTTAATTTTTATTTATTTATTTGATTGAGTATTATTGCGAAGGCTGTACTTGAATTTTTAGCTATTACTGTATATTCGAAGCGTGATAATATTATAATTTGAATTTTCAGGTGAAGGCTGGTTCACTCTATGACAACATCTTAATTTGTGATGACCCACAGTACGCAAAGCAAGTTGTGGAAGAATTCATGGCTAATAATAGAGAGGTAAGCGTTTGCTTTCAGACTTTGTTGTTTGGTTTGCAGGTCCATAGTATTTGCATCCTCATTATGTGTAAAATCTCAGGCTGAGAAAGAAGCTTTTGAAGAAGCAGAAAAAGAAAGAAGGGCTCGGGAGGAAGAGGTGATTGATCAAAGCCTAAATGCATCGCTCTATTTTGATATGTGCAATAACCATATTTGTTAGTTTATGGCACCGTTTGATGTTATGATTGTGTAGGAGGCACAGAGAGCAAGAGAAGAGGGCGAAAAGAGGAGGAGAGAAAGGGATAATAAATATGGAGATAGGAGGCAGCGTAAGAGGGTAAATTTGTTCTTCCTGATTGTACTCCAATGTACTGTTCTAGGGTGGATTTATGCATTTGTTATGTTAACTTTGTAGCAAAGTTTTGGTTATTTTTTTTATTATGCATGGTAGGATTTTATAGAGAGCAAGCCTTTGAGCAAGAGGTAAGGTTGCTCTTTTGTGACAGAAGGAAAAGGGTAAGATTGTATAGACCTTCACCCTTGCTCTCGCAAAATCGAGAAGCCTTCGTGTATTGGGGTTTGCCATAGTAGGAATTAATAGTAGGGTGGGTAGGGGACAACATATATGGAGGAGGAGAACCTCTTTTTGTCTTTTCTTAACCTGTGTTTGAAGGAGAGCAAATACAATATAGGATGATAATTGAAGCGAGATTATTTTCCTCATCGTGTTTTTGAAACTCTTTCCTTCAAAGCATGTATTTAGGCCAGTAAATTTATCTTGTAAGTTCCAGCTGTATCTGTCGGGAGAGCATTCAAGCATTCCCTCTAGGGTAGAAGATTAGTGGTAAACAAATTATTTAGACTTTAGAGGACGTGTGAAAAAGAGGATGTATGCAGGCTTTATGTTTAAAGAGCAAGTGAAAACATTATAGAACATGCGTTTGGGACATCGGGTGGGGAAGATGGATATAACAAACCAACAGCTGTTTGAGCTTTCTTTGTTCTTCAATTCCCTGGCCAATTCATGTGATTTAGTTTGGCCTTAATTATTGCCTATGGGATATGCAAAATCTGATGTTAAGACTTTGTTTTGCAGCCGGATCCTCACGATTACATGGATGATTATAATCATGTAAGCATAGAACTCTACTATTTATGTGAATGTCTCGTAATACTTTATTGCTTTCTGTTGTTCCTGTATGATGTGTGAACTTATAAGTTGCTAAGAATGAGGTTGCTAGTTTGCTTCGAATGGAGTTGGGTTTCCCCACTGGCCATAACACTTTGCCAATTAAAAATCAACCTTTTCCAAATGCAAGTAAAAGACAACCAAGATATTTGCATAAAGAAAGACATTACATGGTACACAAAAAACAGAAGTAGCGCTAGATAAAAGCATTATTCAAACTTATTTTCATACCTTCTAGTTGTGACCACAAGGTCTTCTTTATATGTTCAGCACCTTTAAAAATGGCAAAATATGCAGTGATTGAAAATAAACAATGGTCATGGAGCATCAAACTAAGAAAATTATAAAAAAAAACCACTTCCATTAAATTCCGACTAACGAGAATAGAGGTGTTAAGAAAATTATAATTGTGCTAAAATATGTGAAATGAGATATAAATTCCTTAAAATGCCAGCAAATTCTGAGATGTAAGCAATAGGCGACAAAACAATAAGATATGTTGTTAAGTAGTTTTGGATGATCTTATATTTAATGAATTTTTAAGCATGGGAAATGATATTTGCGTAGAATATTTCCATTATATAACTGAAATAACATTAAGCAACACCTTTCCTCTCGACTTTGGTGTCCTTTTTTTTTTCTCCATAAAAATCGATGATGATCCACCTCAATTTGTTACCTGTATGAGTTGACATGACTCTTTAAATATTTATTCTGAATTCAGGAACTAATAAATAATTTACCATATATTTGTACGGAAGCTATAAGGGTACCATACTATGCCATACAAATTGCAAACTTTTTAAATTGTTGATCTATGTTAGATTCCTGGCATTATAAGATTTCACAGTCTCTACTTTCATTTTCTTTTTACTTTCTTTTTGGGTAAATGTCAGTTTTCGTATTCATTACTCTTATTAAATGTACATTTCCTTTGTCTTACAGGATGAACTTTGAAACGTGCAGTATGGGTTGTTATAGAGCATTTAAGATTCAATTGGTTAGTTAGGATTTAGTTTGTTAGTTGCATATTTATTTTAGATTTAATTGAGCATTTTATTTAAGCTTTTCGTTGTATACCAGCTTATATTTATCAAAGTATAGGCACATTGTAAACACAACTTTCACATATGAAAATTCAGAGCTCCTAAGATGGTATTCAAGCTCTGAACGTTCCTTATATGAAAAGGTTGTGTCTGGATCTATATATATAAGGTATACAACACAAAGCTAAAATAGAAAACTCAATTAAATTTGAACTAATTATGCAACTAACCAGCTGAATCCTTATCAATCAACTGAATTTGAATTGTTCTATAACATGGGTAGTTGGTCGCTTCGTAATTGCAACAATCTTCGATGTCTGCTTTGAAGTTTCAAGTTTTTAATGATGTGAATTGCAGGTCCAAAGCTGTAATTGCACTGACCGTGCTGAGCTGTACTGAACTGTATCATTTGGGTAGATAGATATGAGCGTCGGCCATTATGTTAAACTTGGTTTCTTTTGGATTGGTAAATAACAACTGGGACAGTACTGAAGGATGGAATCAAAACATTTTCTTTTGGATTGGTGTGACGTATAAGGCTTGATAGTATAAGTTTATACTATACGTTATGATATTTTCAGTTGTTTGGTGTGACCATCGTATAATATAAGCTTATACAGCAGGATCCCTTAATACATCAAACGATGTATAACTTAATCTGGCCGAAGGGAGATGGATAAGGCCCGATAAAAGGTTGATGTATTAATTTCGTTGACTAGTGTAATTTTCAAAAATTAATATATTATTTTAATATTAATATATTAAAATCAAAATTAATTTTTCAATATATTAATTTTTAAAATACTGAATATTTTTATTTTTATAAAAATTAATTTATGTTTTGGACACTGATCAATAAATTTTTATAAAAATTAATATTATATGTTAGTTTTTGAAGAATTATATAAATTTTTTATTAAAGAATATTTTTATTAAAAATTTATTTTTATCCTATATAGTATTATACAGTGCATTACCAAATACCAGATGATATTATCTTATACAATATATTATTTTATACAATACCATACTAAACGCTAGATAATATTAAAATTCAATTAGATCTTATACAACCAGGTCTTATACTATCAGGCCTTATCCTATACTATGCACCAAACATGCCCTAAATGTACTAAAAGAAAAAATATCTATATCATATAGATATTTTTTGGGTACATTCTCTATATCGTATATTTTACTCTCTTTAAAAGCAGAAATACTTTTCATTTTTCTTGTTGCTTGTATGGTAGTTATGAAGTGAGTAAAGATTAAGGTATTTGTGTTGTGTGGAATTGTCTTTGGATCTCACATTAATTAAATAAAGAAGTTTAATATAGTACTTGAATTATGAGGGTGATTTTTTTGTTTTTTTTTCTTTTACTTTTACTTTATTGGCTAGATATTTTTGGGTTGAAATCTTCTTCGAGAATTTTGAATCCTAATAATTGGTGTTTTTGTTTGAGTTGGGTTAAGGAGGGTAATTTATAAGCTGGATTAAGACGTAATATCTTCTTGGTGGTGCACTTGATGGGGTGAAAATGTTACGAGTCTTATGTCGAGTAAATAAAAAATATACTTACCCCATGAGACTTTGGATGAGTTTTTTTTATAAGGTTTTAGTCATAATAATCAGTATTTTTATTAAGAGTTAGGTTAAGAAAGTTAGATATATGTTAGATTAAGGTCATACTATTTGGGTTAGTATTAGTGTCAATTTTTAAACAGACGGCAATGTTACAGTCTCACATTAACTAATTAAAGAAATTAAATATAATACTTAAGTTGTGAGATTTTTTTATACAATAACGTTAAGTTAGTCTTCTGAGTTCGACTATGTTTTTAACACTATTCATAATACAAAGAGCAAAGGGCAAAATTGTAAGACATGCACGTGTTAAATAGAGACCCTCCGATGATTGTATTTTTTTTTTTATTATTATTATTATTTTGAAACTTAGGGAATGGAAAGCAACTATAACGTTAATAGAACAACAACCGTTACAGCTCGTGTAAGGAAGAGAGAGGTCCAGGACAAAAAGTCAAAAGCAGCATAAATAATAAAGGAAGAAAAATAATTTGGTGAAATTGATTAATGATTGAGCTGCCAAATTATCATCATAATTCATAAATTAACATGGTTATATGTTTGGATTTCTTCGCTGGCCTTTGTGAAATAAAGCAGTCGGTGCCAATGGTACAACGCGTTATTCATCATTCATCATTTCGCAAAACATGCTCCCCATTCCAATCTCCACCTCAACTTGCCCACTTCCACGTGAAAATGTCTCAACAAAAGTAATCTAAGTTATTTATAAAAATTAATAATTCATTTATATGTAGTTAAATTAATTTGTTTTTTATTTCTCTTAGAAGACGTTTGGTAAAAGAGGAAAAAAAAAATTTATCAGAGAATTACAATTATTGAGAATATGGTGAAAAAATGAGTTATCTAAAAAAGTTAAAAAAAGATTGTTTGGTATGCCAAAATATTATCGGGAGAATTAATTTAAGTTTTCTAAGTCTATGTTTGGTTGAAGATAAAATATTGCTGGAAAAATGAGGTGAAATTACAAAAGTAATCCTTGACTAAATAATATTGCATAGCAAATGAATAGGATTAGAAGAGGGTCATTTTCGTTATCTACTTCGCGCTCCTTTTTTCATTTAGCCGATAATTTCAAAATAACACATTCAAAGTGGTACTCCTAAAAAGTATAAATGAGTTTACTGGATGAATTTATTAAAAACTTGTATCAAATATGGATAATTTGGAATACCCTTCTCACTTGCCTGGATATTTGCACAAAAAACTCCTACTAAACGCGGCTTAAACTTTTCACAAAAAAGAAGAAGATAATCGTCACATTAAAAAAATTAATTACCATAAATTGATATCTTTATTAAAAAGATAATGATCTTTTTTTTTCCATTGTTAAAACTTAAGATGAATAAAAGCAAGGTAGACTAGTTGTCCGGATTTGGTGAAGAAAGAAAGAAATGCAACTAAATTAAGATTTAGTAAACACCACTAATAAGTTATTAAAATTGGTGTTTTATTATCTACCAAATAAAAAAATATTGGTGTTTTATTGGCATGTTATGAAAAAGGGGCGAGAAAAAGAAAAGAAAAAAAAGGAAAAGAGAGAAAGGTTTGAATTTTTAAATGAAGGTGGTGGGGAAGGACAAAGGTGGTGGGAAGGTAGGATGAAAGAAAAAGCAACATCGTTTTCAAGGAAACAGTAGAGAGAGTTGAGTGTGCCATGCCAACGTCACATAAATGCAGATGCAGATGCTCTCAAATCACTCCTCCCCCATGCCCACCTTTCCCTCCTCTAGGGTTTCTCTTTTTTTCTTCTGATTTTCTCTTTTCTTTTCATTTCATTTCACAAATTGCGTAAATTCTAAACACATTACCTCCTTAAATTCAATCCTGGGTTATGCTGAATTTGGGTCAGTTTGGGATTGAAGAACAGAAAATGGATGGCTGACATTTTCCCTTCTTTTTTTTTTTGAACAAAAAAAAAAAGAGTGCATTTTGATGAGTGATATGAAGGTATGTTGATTTTGATCTTTGTTGGAAATTGTTTTACCCCGGAGAAGCTAAGATCATGGAAAGATGTATTCTGGAAAGAAAAAAAAAATCGTTTTTCTTCTTCTTTACTTTTTGTGGAACTCACATCACCGTTTTGTTGGACAGTTCTATAATAGTCTTCACGTTCATTGTTTGATTTGATGAATTTTCTTGTTAGACATTTTGATTGTAGATCTTTTACGAGGATTACAAAATTGGCTGGCAGAAATAAAGTGAAAATGATTTTGCTCCATATGTCGTTTTGCATTTGGAAAATGTTTGGATCTTTAGTATTATAAATAATTTTATTTCAAGGTATTTTGGTTTAAGGGCCTTTTGGCATGTAGTTGGGAGTTTCTGGTATGAAATTCTTATCATCTACTATATAGCATTATTATTTTTCACACTGGTATTGCAAGTTTTCATCAACATTTTTAGGTACTGGTTTACAGTTTACACTTTTGCATTTTGTAAGTATTTATATATTTGTTATATGTCATTGTAATCTATACTTATTAGTAAGGTTTGTGAAATGTGATTATTATCTCTATTTTGTAAGAAATGGTGCTAGTGTATGTAATCTTGTGTGGTTTTCTCTCCATGTACCGTGGCTTTCCCTGTTTTAATTCCCGTTCACTTTCATTTTGGCTAAAGATTGATCATGATTTGGCTATGGGAGTTGATTATTCTCTGTCTTTCAGGTGAGAAGTGGGTTTTGCGCGTGGCCAGATGGGAGACAACTTTGCTTTAGAAAAGGTCTTCTATACGGATTTATGCGATTATTTTCTATACCATTAAAAACATTGCGTGGAGCTAGTCGGTCACTGAGGGTAGATCAGTTTTGCAGTGTAGTGAATATTTCTTCCTCATTACAGATTGAATTGGTGAGCAGATCTCTTATTACTTTTTAAAGTTTTCATAATGAAATTAGATTAGTATTCTGTCATTCATGCTAAAGGTTCCTGAAGCAATACGCAGAAATCCTATTTTTTGCCATGTTATTCATTTTTCTTTAATTTTCAGGTACCATGCCTCAGGGACAATTATGCTTATCTTTTACATGATCTGGATACTGGTACAGTTGGTGTTGTTGATCCCTCTGAAGCTGCGCCTATCATAGATGCTTTAAGCAAGAAAAATCGAAATTTGACATACATACTAAACACTCACCACCATCATGATCACACTGGTGGAAATGCAGAGTTAAAAGAAAGGTATGGGGCAAAGGTATGATATTCTTATCTTCTGCTAAAGTTTATACTACTCTTATTTAATATTATAAATGTGCTTTCAGCAAAAATCATCTTATTATTATTATATGATTTTGTGTTTGAATTAGAATTCCCCATGTAAAGACCAAATTTAAAATGAAGTTTACTTTGCTCTAACTGTAACACTTCCTACGTTGTGTTACAGGTAATTGGTTCTGGGATAGACAAAGAAAGAATTCCTGGTATTGAAATCTATTTGAGTGATGGAGATAAGTGGATGTTTGCTGGCCATGAGGTGCATGTAATGGCCACACCTGGTCACACCCAAGGTAACCTTCATGGTCTATTTGCATTAGTAAATCTTCTTAATTTTTGAACTCTTTTAGATATTTATTGATAAAAAAATCAGTTCAGTTTTTGCTTGTTTGGCACTGTGGCTCTTTTAGTCTCCTGCAGTTTACTAACCTGTAGAATATGTCTCTATTTACTCTTCTGGCTGATGTGTCTGTGCCATGCCTCTGTCTCATTTTATCTGCAAATTTTGACTCCATGGATTACGGAAATCTAAACTCTGTTTTCTTTGCTGTTATATTTTCTGAACTCCTGGTTTGTACTTCAAGTTATGAAGTTACTTAAGTTCTTCACAGTTTACTTTAGCCTAACTTGTATATTATCCGCCTGCACAGAATCCCTGTCTTTAACTTCCTTATATCTGGCTAGTATGTGCGTGGGTTATTGTTTTGGATAATTCACTAGTATTAGGCTATACAAATTAAAATGCTCTGGGTACTGTTTATGTCCTTCGTGTGATTTTCGGATTTTGTTTACTGCAACCTGCTGAGCCACACTTTCCCAATTTACTATTTGTTTGTACAATAAGCAGGCCACATAAGCTTCTACTTTCCTGGATCTGGGGCAATATTTACAGGAGACACCTTGTTCAGCTTATCATGTGGCAAGCTCTTTGAAGGAACCTCTGAACAGGTTTATTGTCAATTATCTCGATTTTTACTTTCTTGCTTTGTTATTTAGTTTCATTTTCATACAATTCTCTTGATTAATAGTCCAACTTAAGCATAAATAGTGAATTAGTGGTTGAAATCTAATCCTTGTGGGAATGATACTCTTACTCAATCACTTTATTACTAGTATGACCGGTGCATTTGCCGAGTCTGCAACAATTCGCTTCCTCTAATTGCATTTAGTTTTTCATTTTGTTTTCAGGTTTTAGATTTGCATCTTCAGTGACAAGTCATTACATCTTGCAATGTTTCTTTCTTGTTTTGTATATCTCGTTTTATCCCTTCGCCAAAATTCCTAAAATTTGAAAATACCTGGAGGAAAGGAATTGAACCATTGTTATCTAAATTGCAATTAAATGAGGACTTTATGATATTTGAAACTTGTATTCTTTTCAATAATTCATAACTTGTGAGTGTAAATGCCTTGTAAAATATGGTAAATTTAACTTATTTTGGGAAGGTCTTATCTAAAATGAGGTTACCAATGATTTTATTCTTAGTTGTAGATATAGAATATTTCGATAGACGAATTCCTCATATCTACATTTTTAGTGTAAGAAAATTTGTATTAAATTATTGAGATATTGGGTAAAATTAATTAAATATGTGCTGCAATGCCATTTCCTACTAATTATTATGTTAGAATCAGAAATTACTATATCACTAAATATCATTTTAGTGGTTGTAATATTGTTTTTCATATTGTTGATTTTTGAATATATGCTGAAGAGGATGTATAATTTTTTATCATGTAATATGTCAAATAATGCTTGTCTATAAGTTGAATATTGGATGTTGATTTCTAAATATGTTGCTGCTGATGTATAATGTAGCTATAAATGCAAGCCCTTTCTTTCATGGTGTCAGGTCAGTTATTGATAATTTCTTCCATATTACAGATGCTATCCTCTCTTAAAAAGATCATGTCTTTGCCAGACGATACAAGTATATACTGTGGTCATGAATATACATTGGTTAGTTGTTTTTACTTTCATCCTTTATGTTCCTTGCTTTATCTTCTAAACCTAAGTGCTGCGATCATGACTCTGATGCTTTGAAATTTGGCAGAGTAATTTAAAGTTTGCATTGTCTATAGAACCTGAAAACAAGGAACTTCAATCCTATGCTGCCCATGTAACTCACCTTAGAAATAAGGGCTTGCCCACGGTAATTTTCAGAACTGTGCTGCTTTAATGGATGGTTCGAAGTGCCCTCTCTCTCTCTAACTGCTTTTCTTCACTTATCTGTCACTACCCGCTGTTATTAAGCTTACATATAACTTAGTTGTTCGTATGTTTTGCTTTTACCAAATCAGTACTGTTTTCCAGATTCCGACTACGGTGAAGATGGAAAAGGCTTGCAATCCATTCCTTCGCACTTGGAGTATAGAAATCCGGCAAAAAATAAATATTTCAGTCACAGCAGATGATGCAGAAGTCTTGGGTATTATTAGGCAAGCAAGGGATAATTTTTAGAATTTTTTAATTAAAATTTTAAAATTCTTCTAAGGATACTCATTCTGTATAGATTAGGTTAATGAATCCATCCATGGAATGATATTTACTTGATGGTATATTCGTAATATAATTTTTCAATTTCTTTTGAGTTCATTTGACTTTGAGAGTTACTGTTTTTAAATTAGATTAAGTTTTGTTCGCATGATAATTAGTCAAAATCGTGATGCATGGAAGATAGTCAGCACTCACCTCGTGTTAGCATATGCATATGTTGAGAATGCTTGGTGCTTAAGAAAGTTGTAGTTTGATCCATTTTACTTCTGTGACATGAGGATTTTCAATATTTGTATTAGACACGTTTGACGTCATTCAAAATCTCATTATGAAGGGGCATAACACGTTAACATTAAGAGGTTCTTTGGTCCCGTAAGATTTTGCGGTCGATAGCATGTGACTTGAAATGAAAGGATCAAATATGAAAACAATGAATCTGATTGTGTATTCAAGTATGGATTGAACTTCAAATATTTTGTTAATATATGTTATTAACTTTCATTAAAGATCATTTTTTATGTTATAACCCTTTCCCATGTCCCCAGTTTAGGAAGTGAGTTGAGTAACTTTAGAGGAAGACGATCATGTAGAGTATAACCCTTTTAGGAGTAGGACTAGAGTATGGGTGGGTGGCACCTTTCACACTTTTTAAGTTGATGGATGGGATTTCACCTAACACATTCTTTAGCAGCTTGGGCATCCCAATCCCCACTTAACGCACTTTCATCTCTTCGAAGAAACTGACAACGTCCTCCAATATGACAGAATTACTTTATGCGCCAATCTGGCAATCTTATTATTCGTACAAAAAAATTATATACCTGCCCATAATGTCTCATATTTGTTGGCATCATCCCCAATAAGATAATTTGGTTACCCACTTCCAAATTCCAATTCAAACTGTGTCCAAATGTTTACGTCTTGTCTTACGAGTCAGAAAAGCACATAAAATGTGAATTAATCATGCTAATAAAGTAATTATGAAATATGAACGCATCTCCCTAGACCTTATGTATATGGTAATATGTTTATGGCATAGGGGATAACTTTTTCTAGCCAACTTTTTTTTTCATGTCTACCGCTTTATAACAATCTTATATTAGAATCCCAATTAACCTTTAGGATAAGTAAGGTATGCATATATTTTTTTTTGAGATAAGTTATTCTACCTACTTCTTTTTAATGTCTATCTTGCATATTAATTTTCAATATCATTAGATCATAATCTCAAAATGAGTAAGAAATGATAAAAGTTAGTTGAAATTCTAATCTAATAGTATTAGACAGTGGTAAACATTGTAGGCATAAAAAAAAAAGGTAGATAGAATAATATATCAATATCAAATGATAGTAGCTTAATTGATGTCAATGAACTGAGCAGATTAGGGTGGGTCAGGGTAAGAGCATATGTTCGATCCTTCTTAGTGTATCGTCTTTGAGAAAGATTTAAAATCTTAATCTCAAGATCCGCTCCAAATTAAATTAGTCACAAACAATCAACCAATTAAAATATGTCAAGAAAATAAAATAAAATAACGTATCCATTGTTTAGTATAACATAAATAAATGTAACGGTAGTTAGTTAGTGTGTGGCATCAGCATCAGCATCAGAGTTATTAAGCTAGTAAGTAGTAAGTATAACGTCATCATCAGATTCTTAACCCTCTCCCTTCCCTCGTCCAAAAGATTTTAAGAGGGGTCCCCACAGCATAGAGTAACAGTTTCCGCGCCAACGGAAAGGAAGAAGGAGAAGAAGAAGAAGGAGTGGTTAAGCAACAACTCTTTGTTTCTCTTTCTTTTCCTTTTTCACTCTCGCACCTTAACGTTGCAAATGAATTACTGAATAATATGATACGACATTAACGTTCATCGTTTTCGCAGTTGCAGCAATGGCCGTGGACGATCGATCGTTCACAGATTTGAACCCTAAGACGTGCGTGGTTTTAGGCGGCAGAGGATTCCTCGGGAAATCGTTGGTCCTGAGGCTGTTGAAACTCGGTAACTGGATCGTCCGAGTTGCCGATTCAACTCAATCTCTCCATCTCCATCATTCCGAGTCTCTTCTCGCCCAAGCACTCTCTTCCGCTCGCGCTTCTTACTTCCATCTCGACCTTCGCGATGAGCGTCGCATCGTCCAAGGTCCATAACCAATTCTTTCTGTTAAAAACCAGCATCGTCCATTAAATTGCATGATCGTAAATCATAAATAATTAAATCGATGTGATTTTTTTTCCAATTTGAGAAGAAACTAACAGCTGCATAGAAATGCATTATCTGCAGTTCTTGAAGGCTCTTCCGTCGTATTTTATATGGATGTCTCTGGTCTCGTTGCAAATGATTTCTATAGTTGCTATAAGCTTATAGTTCAAGGTACTCTCTTCCATTTCCTCTCGTAATCGCAATGGATTTCATGTTTTCTTACGTGAATTTGATATTCGATTGATCAGGTGCGAAGAATGTCATTAGTGCTTGCCGAGAATGTAGGGTGAAACGCCTTATATACAACAGTTCTGCAGATGTAGTATTTGATGGTTTACATGATATACATGATGGAGATGAATCGTTGCCATATCCGTGGAAAGTACGGTTTTGTTGATACGTTCATAATTGGATTAGATGTTTTCCGTTTTACGAACTAATAAGCATTTTTAATAGAGGGACGTGAATTGCAGATGGACAACATGTTAGGTGACCTTAAGGCTCAAGCAGAAGCATTGATCCTTGGTGCCAATGACATTGATGGCCTATTGACATGCTCCCTTCGTCCTAGTAATGTTTTTGGACCTGGTGACTCAGAATTTGTGGCATATTTCCTAACGTTAGCAAGATATGGTTTTGCAAAGGTGGTTTACGTTTCGCACTAACTTTATTTTGGTTAACAGTTGTCAATTGTAGGATCCATGCCAAACAACAAATATAAGCTTTACTAAAGACAACTTCAGAATTTCGGGTTCAAGCAACATCTCGGTGTTCTTTGTTACGTTGGATGAATTTTCTATTTATTTAATTATTTATTTCTCTCTCTCTCTCGTGTAAAATAGTGATTTTTTTGTAAGCACTTCTGGAGGAACTAAAGATTTTAGGTTTTGAAGAAAGCACACAAAAGTTGGTTTAAGCATTTTCTTTTTCTAAAACCTAAATTTTTTAACATTTCCGGGAAAACCTTTCCTCATACTAAATGAATACTATGTCTATTGATCCAAACTCTTTTCTAAAATATGGAACTTCACTAAATTCAGAGGGTGAGCCTTGGAATAGCGGTAAGGCCTACTTGTGACTGGAAGGTCACGGCTTCAAGTATGAGAAATAGTCTCTTTGCATAAAAACTAAGTATTATCGACCTTCACCTCTACCCTCGGAAGTTGGAGATTTTTGCGCACTAGGATTTGCCTTTTTTATACTAAATTAGGAAATGAAATTGATATTTCTATGCCATATCTTTTTGGGACTTAGACCTGTCTGATCTGAAACCCATTTAATATGTATATTATGATCGTGGACATAATTTCACACTGGCTATCGTACTTGAGGCCTTGTAAATTCACAATTTAGGATCTTCCTTGATTAGTTATGATTATTGGATATGCTATAAATTCTTTCCAGCTCTATTATGAAGCTGATTTCAACATTTCCTATCAGTTGACATAATCATGCAGTTCACATTGATCGATATTGGTGACCATCAAGTTTGTTTATTTTTTATTTTGTTTATGTGGAGTAACAATTTCTCATTTCAGTTTATTATAGGGACGGGTGACAATCTTTCAGACTTCACGTTTTCTGAGAATGTTACTCATGCCCATATATGTGCAGAAGAAGCCTTGAATTTCCAAACGGTTTCTGTGGCTGGAAAGGTATATATATTGAATATCAATGGGGATGTATTGCCTGCTCTGTTCTTGATATTCATGCATAAAAAAGTCTTTACTCTTTGTATGTGCAGGCCTTTTTTATCACAAATCTTGAGCCTATGAAGTTCTGGGAATTTCTCTCAATTTTGTTGGAAGGTCTTGGATATCAAAGGTAAAAGTGACCAATGTGTTTTGATATATGAGTGACATAATAGTGTCTCCAATGTTTTGTTGCTTATGTTTTGTTGTATATGTTTGACATGATTATGTGATATAGAACATGGGAGTGTTTGGAGGGAAAAATAGCTTTGAAAATTATATTTCCTCTGCTCATATATTTCAATCTTTGGAAAAATCTAGCCACAAGCTTTATCAAATTAGCTTTTTCCTGCCAATCTAGGAGATGTCATACCATCTTGACTCTATAATTCATGCTTTGTAGAACTAGGTCATGTATGTTGCCTCCTTTGGCACACAAAATAAAGTTGCCTTGCAGTGTTTCATTTTGGTCCATCTTTCTCTTGTATAAGTGATTTTCTTTGGTATATTTGGTCCTTTGGCTTGCTGCTTCATTCACAGCGGGAGGCAACAAAATGCTATTTCTGGTTTTACTTTATTGCTGGTTTATGACCTCTTATGCTGTAGTGTTAACCAAGACAGAGAAATCCTTGCTTTGATTGCAGGCCATACATCAAACTTCCTGACAATTTGTTGCAATACATTCTCCCAGTTTTAAAGTGGTTAAACGAAAAGTTGGGACCTAGTTACTTCAGTTATCCTTTATTACTTCATTTTTTTCAGTTAGCTTCACACACCCGAACTTTTGACTGCGTGGCAGCTCAGAAAGATATTGGATATTCTCCTATAGTCTCCCTTGAGGTTTAAATCTTCTTCTCATTTGTTTTAAATTGTGACTAGTGAAATCTCATGTATTCTTGTTCTTTCAATGTGGAGCTATTAGTGATAACTGAGTTATGTAGGGTATAACTATGTGGCAACCTCCAAAGAGGCAAAAGGCTGTTTCCTTTGTCATTCTGTTCAGACCCCACTCCCACATACACACACAAACAAAAATTGAAAAAAATTATATATACTCGCACATTAGAGGATCTTCTTATTATTTTTATCTATGTTGTTCCATCTGTTAATCTAGGTGCTTTTAAGACATTAATTAAAGAGTATTTTTGTATTTTTTCAATTACTGGAATTTCTTCCAAAAGTATCCATGAAATGATTTATGCATGCTGGAAACAGTATAAAAGTTTGATGAACTGGTAACAATTACTTTCTTTTCCTTTCTATGTTACTTATAATTGTTCTAAACAGAGTGAAATATTCATTTTGTCAGAGTTTATATATGGTATGGAAATTCTTACCATTTGCTTTTGTATTTGTTGATATTGGATAATACAGGAAGGCATCACATTAACCATAGAATCATTCACTCATTTAGCCAGAGACTCATCTTTTTCAGGATGCCGTTCTTCCACTGAACCGTCAAAAGCAGATAAGCTGCTTGGTGGTGGAAAAGGTTGGAACATAATGCTTTCCCTTGTGTTACAATGTTTATATACACTGATGAAGGTTTGCTTTCTTAGTTAATTAATGTGAAAGCAACTTTTGGTGAAAATGGAATGACTGGGAGCACGTTGATAAGTACACCTCGTTGCATGGATATCTGGCTTGTCTTGATAGAGTATCTAACTCTTAACCTGCAAATCAAGTTGACCTTGACATTACTAAAAGGGCACCACATCAATAGTAAATACCTTGCTTGTAGGTTTACCCAGATATTTGCATTTTTTGTTTACTTGTAGGGTGTGCTTAGCTCAGTTGCAAAATTTTGGAACGAAAATTACTTTGCACTTGTATAATGCAAGATAAATGTAGGACTGTTGAAAGTGAAGCGCAACTCATTTGTACTCCATACTAAATTTTTGCCTCTCGGTAGCAACCCCCTCCAGCCCCGAGAGTTACACCTGAGATTGCTAAGCCCTTTTATCTCCTGTTTGTGTTTCAATCTAGAAATTTCCATTACAATGTAATTTGGATTTCCATTCTGTTAACATTGTAATTCAGTTACAAGCATTTACTGTTAAATACGGGTGTGTTAAAATGAAATGCATGGAAAAGGTTTGACCAATTCTCCTTCCCTCCCAACCTCTCCCTCAAGTCCCTCTCTGTTCCCTTTCTTTCCTCTTCCCCTTTTGGTAATCTGTCTCTTTTCCCCCGTTTTTCCTTCTTTCCCTATATCTCTAAAAAGGTTATGCTACATTCTCCCCCTTTAGCACGAAAGTGGGCTGAAAATAATTTCCGTCCTTGTTCTACCATCCTTGACTACATACCAAGGACTGAATAAAAATATTTTCCATCACACTCTACTTTCACTTCCCTCCCTATTTTCCAGCTTCCCTACGAAGCACACCCTCAGATTGCATAGTAGTGTACTTTGCTTTTGTTACTATTGTTCTATCCATACCAACTACTACTTGGTATATAGTGTCTTTGTGTCATAAACATGGCCTCACAAAATTGATGAGCAAATAGATTTATTTTACCATTTTAAAAACACTTTGGGAGAATACAATTTGAGTCATTCATATTACATAATTAAACTGAATGTTTGATGGCACATATGTTAACTATTCTGAATCATGGAGCTCTGATAACATTTTGTCAAGCCAAATAATGTTTAGGTTTATTGTTACAGTGGCTGACGTTTTGTTGTGGAGAGACGAGAAGACATCTTTTACGTATTTCCTTGTGCTGTTTTTGTTCTTTTACTGGTTTTTCCTATCTGGAAGCACTTTTATATCATCTGCTGCAAGACTTATGCTGCTTGCCACTTTACTTCTCTGTGGACATGGTTTTCTACCATCAAAGTTGTAAGTGCATGCTCATAAAAGTCTGACACTTCTTATTTTTGTCTTTTAACAAATTTTGGAAGCTTTATCTCTTGAAATCGCTGGACGTTGTATATCACAATTTTTTCCATGAAAGTCTGTCGAGAATTTCTTGAGTGCTACGGATGCACTGAGTTTTAGGTGCATCTTTCACTCACAATGTGACACGTATCTTATTTTTTGTCAAATCACTCTCTCACTTAATATTAAAATAAATTATTTATTAATGATTTAACAAAAATAAAACACTTGTCACGTTGTGAGTGAGAGATGCACGGAAAACTTAGTGCATTGGTAACACCAAAGAAATTCTCGTTTCTGTGTTGAAGTGATGAGTCAACTGTTGGTCCTCCCTCTGTTTTCATCCTGCTGGTTATGTGACATGACTAGATTTGGTTGTGGTCGTAGCCTGTATATCTAATTAAATTATTTTACGTGTGATATGATCTATGTCTCAACCATAAAGGCTACTCATATCTCATTTCAAATCGGTGGTACAGGAATTACGTCATATATATTTAATGAACATTTGAAATTTGTTTTGGGGATTTTGGCTCTTAGCATCTTAGACCTTCATAGTCATAGGTCGCTGGAAAAAATATATTGTTCTCTAAGCACTAACTGTATGACATTTTGTGACAGATTTGGTTTCCCAATACAGAGGATGCCCATGTCTAGTTTTGAGATCTCTGCTGCGGCGGTGAAACGATCAGTTGCAACTACAGTATATCTATGGAACAAGGGTTTTCAAAATATAAGAGGACTGGCCCATGGGGAAGATTGGTCTACATTCTTCAAGGTAAAAGAAGCGCTCTCTTCTTTTTATTTTTTTAATAAAAAAGAATATCCCTTCCTTTCTTGTCCTAGTTAAATTTATTGTGAAGTTTTTTTTTTCTTAAAAAAAAAAAAAAGTTGTAAGCGTTATCTGTTCATTGATAAACCATGTGATGTCTGGATCTATTGTTTGGTTTGGAAAAGTGAGTTCCAAGTTTCTATCTTCCAATTAGCATGCTGGTCAACGTCATACTTCTTACAGGGGTGGGCTAGAAAGAATGAATGATTTTACACGAATGAAGTTTTACTATGATGTACAGATTCTAGGAATCTTTCCCTTCATGTGGCATTTTTTAACCGATGCAGGTTGCAGTTTTTCTTTACCTTCTGAAGTTGATCCTGTCACAGAAGTTGTTGTCATCATTGATAGGCATAGGTATGGAAGTTGTTCGCTGTTGCAGAACTTTATTGGTTTGTGTGCTTTCATATTTACCCAGTCTGAATTGTTATGTAGGTCTGGTCTTCGCATTTATGGCATTTTTTGTTTACGAGCAATATGAATCAGAAATTGATAGCACGATGGACATTCTGTTCACCAGTTCGAAGGAGTTCGTCATATATTTGATGAGAATTTTACCTGTTTCCATATCTCGGCTTGTGCATTATCATGAGAACTTTCAGCTTTACAAAGGACCAGGAAGGGTAAAAGAGCTGAGATAGCCAGAAAAAAGTTTTAGCTTCGCTCTGCAATCTTCGTATATATTTCTTACAAACAGAGAGTTGTGTTCCTATTAACAAGTTTTAAAAGGTAAAATATTAAGAAACATGTTTAGAAATGCCCTCTCTCCGTTTATTTTCTGTCATCACAATTGAACTGGCGAGTTGCAGATGTTGGTGTTTGAAATTATTGTGGTAGTCGGTTTTAACAGGCAAAATATTAAGAAACAGAATGATGGTTCATTGACATCAATAATCGTGCAAAAGGAATACGCAGTTCGCCGTGTAAGTCTTACAAGTTGCAACCATAGAATCTTGAGTGTCACGTGGATGCGGGAAAGGTCATTGAATATCTCTTACGTTTACTAGATTATGTAAAGGAAGAATGAAGCACGGGCTGCAATGGTCTTGTTTTGCTTACATATGGTTCGTTCTGTGCTATAAATATCAATTTTAATTTAACAAATTTTTTATACCCAGACATAAATTTTTGTTAAGATTTAATTAATCAAAAACTTTCAAAACTTCATTTTAGAATAATAAGCTTTATTTTTAATTGAAATTAAATCTTGTAACATAAAATATGTCATTTGGCCATTGTACGTAGACAGGAAGTTATTCAGTGTTACAGTAGTATTGTACCGTCACTTGACATATGAAAAAATAATTCAATCATCGATCTGATTTGTCATAAAAAAGAGTGGTTTTATAAGAGTTACGTTGTAGAAAAAGTGATTGTGTAATGTTATAAAGATTCGTTTTGCGTGCTATAATTTTTTTTTTTTTGTTTCAAAAAGTGTGAGCCCCAATGTGTCTAGAAAACTTGTTTATGTCATGTTAAATGATAAATGCAAACTCTAAAAAATATTAATTTTTAATTTTGATTCAGAATTTTGTTTCATCCGGTTTTTCACTCCCGTCCTCCCACTCCCTCCATCTTCTTCGTTATCTCAATTTTCTCCCATTCTCTTTCGTTAACAAATGAAATAACATTGTAAATTAGTAGCAGATTTTACTCTTCCTTTGAGAGAGTTTAGTGCGTCACGTTGTGCCTCTGATTGAAAGGAGAGAAACGCAGAAGCAGGCTACAGTAGCCATTTACTCAATTTGATAGAATTTTTTTGATGTTATTATAAATCCCCTTGATATCTTTGAATTGAGTCATGATTTCACATCTTGACGTGAGCATATTTCATTAAGATAGGCTGTATCGAGAAATAAAATATCAAAGATTCAGTACATCCTACCAATAGAAATATTACATGTTAATTAAGGTTTTCTTTTCTCTGTCAAAATTTTTCTCTTTTTTATGATGTGTAATGCTTCTATTGGTGGGATAGACTAAATTTGGGCGTGCACTAAAAATTTATTCTATATCGAGCAGGTTAACAATGCAGGGATTGATGGAGTTGAAATCTGTTATGAAAAAAGCAACAAATATAAAATTAATTCGGAATTAAATAATATGACATAAAGAAAATTAGAGGAAAAATAAAGTGACACACACAAAAGAAATAAATATTTACATGGTTCGGCTGTGTAGCTATTACACGGATGAAGACAGGTAAAAAATATCCACTAAAATAACAGAATACAAAAGGTGGAAATACCCCAAACACTCCAACCTCAATCTAATTACGCCCAACAATTTTCCCTGGATGATACAAAAAAATTGAGAAGGGAAGTTTTTAACTCTCACTCGTCGATACATTAACCAAATAACCTATGTCCGTATTTATAATGAAAATGAGGCGGTGCTTACTATCCTTCATCGTGAAGGAATAAAAAAACAGAAAATTATTTATGTAATTAACGTAGATAAATTATTTGTATTTACTTTCAAAATGACGTCGTTTTAGAATTGAAATATAAGAAAATTATAATTATAAAGATTGAAATAAATTAAAATTATAAAAACACCATGATTTCTGCACCAAAAAGACGTCGTATTGGACTTACTACAGATAACTTATTTACAGTAACTACAGAAAAAATGAACCTGTAAAAAAATATGGCTTTCCTTGATTTAAGTGGGAATTTTTTTGGTGCTCCAGGTTCTATGTGATCCTTCCATTCAAGAGATGAAGGTTCTATGTGATTCTTCCATTCAAGAGATGACACTTGGACAAAAAGTTATTTTTATTTCTTCTCTTTTCTCTCTCCTCATTAGTTGTATGATTTTGATTGGTCCGGACCACTGAGTAAATGGTGGTCCGAAAATACTAAGATTCTTCTCGTTTAAGTGTTGCGGGTGTCTGTTGCAGTTGCAACTAACACGAGATTTTTTTTTATTCCTTGGCTGACACAATAATTCTCTCTCTCTCTCTAACAACTATAGGAATGAAGCAATAATTTCATTTCGATTTTTAGAAGACGTCTAATTCAATCTTCTTATAAAGACATTATACTTTGCGGGTTCGAGTAATGATTGAACTTGATTTATGATAGGCTTTGTAACAATTTTTTCAAACTTTGATAAAACTATTTGATCAAATCAAATACAGTATGGGCTGGCCAATGTGTACTGAGCTAAATCACACACGGTTGACGGATAAGGCCTTTGGGATAATCAGCTTTCTGGGCTTGAGGTTGTAGTTGATGATGTGAGGACTCTGGTTCTCCTTTGGCGCGATGATTTAGACTGGGGTACCTGCACGCTCAAGTCAGTATCAATAGCAGGAGTATGTGTATTCTTATTGAATTAGATAATCATACATGGGCATGTACCCTCTATTTATGCAGTGGTTGTGATGCCGCCTTGTGAAGGCGGTATGGCCTCTGATTGGCCATTTTGGAGCTGCAAGTTCTGCATGTGCCGTAATAGCTTATCTCTTAATGCCAGGCTACTTTGATAGAGTAGTGGCAAGTTGGTGCTATCCTCTGTCTATCTGCTTGAGGGCACGGTGTACCTTTGTTAGTTCCTGTGTTGGCTTTCTTATCTCTGAAGTTATGTTAAAGGGTGATTTTGTGCGCGATGGTATCATCGTGCCATGCTTATGCGCGATGTGAGTCATCGCGCCTTATACTGAGCTTTAAGGGTTTTGGGTATTGTCCTTATGTATGTGGGCCTTTAATGGACCTATCATATTTTATGCAGATCACCATTAAATATAATATATATGATTAAGTGAAACTTGATATCTATATGCTTGAATAGAGGTGGTAATATGGATTGCTCCCTCCCAACCCGTTATCAATCCACCAAAAGCTGGGCAGAGTGAGTTGCCCCAATGTTAAATTGGGTTGAAAAAATGAATCATCCTGTTTTATGGCAAGTTGGCAGGTCAACTCATCAACCTCTTAATTAAAAAAATAATAATTAAATTTAAAAATAAATTATATTTTATGAATTTTATAATATTATTTAATTTTATTTCATATTCTTTTTAATTTTTTTTAATCTCAATCTTAACTATATACTAATATTCAGTTAATTCTTTAGAATTTCATTTATCTCTGTATATGGAGCAATAATTTTTGTATTTTGTGTAAAGCCTTAATTCAAACTTGGGTATAAAACATTATTGGAAAATTCTTGTAATATGATGCTCTCGACTTTGGTTCTAAATTAATCAAGGTTATATATTTTGGTGTTAAAACTCGTTGAGTCATGTTTGTTGGGCTTCCTCCTTCAATTCTAAGTCCAAGCCTATTGAGGGGTTTCCTAAAACCCTAAACTCTAGATCTCACCTACTCTATATATTCATAAGTTGTGGGTGAAGGCTAGGTTAGAAGATTGAGAGAAAAATATTTGAGTGATTTGTGAGCAAAGCTTTAAGCTTTGTATTTGAGAGATCTCTAGAGAGAGTTGGAGTGAAACATCTCTAGGGAGGTTTGATTATCACCATTGTTGCAGAGGTTGAGATAACCACCACATTGGTAAATTTGATTCTTTGTAACCATTATTTTCATAGTGGATTTTTTGAACTAGACTAGGTCCCGTGAGTTTTTACTTCTTCATTGGAGAAGGTTTTCCCACTTTAAAATCTGTTTGTGTTCTCCTCTCTCTCTCTCTCCTATTTGAGTTTTGATTTTCTACTGCGCTGCCCGAACTGGTGAAGTTCAGGCCGAGGCAATTGCCGAGATCCGAGATCCAGGATCTCATTGACTGACTTCCGCAAAGGGCTGTTTAGTCGACTTGAGGGAACCGAGTTCTCAAGAGTGGTATCAGAGCCCGAGTTCGACGGGTTCTGAGGGAGACGAGATGGAAACCAGTGGCATAACCTATGATAGAGATATGTTCAAGCTGACCGCAGACAATTTCACCTATTGGAGTTTCAGAGTCGTAAGTTGGTAGCTACAATCATAAACAATATTGACAAAAGCCTTTTTGAGCACGTGTCCGAGTGCACGAACGCGTACGAGTTGTGGACGAAGTTGGAGTCTATGATTCAGAAGAAGACATCCAGGAAAAAAGCACGCCTGGTTCACCGACTTGTGAAGTTGGAATACAAGGACGGTATGAGCATGATTGAACACCTCAACACCTACAAAGGTATTGTGAATCAACTGTCAAAGGCTGAAATGAAAATTGATGACGAGATGCAGGCCTTGCTGTTGTTGAGCTCGCTGCCAGAAAGCTGGGATACTCTGGTGGTGACCTTGAGTAATTCGACTCAGATGGAAAATTGAAGATGGATGTCGTAACAGACAGCCTCCTGAACGAAGAAGCCAGGATAAGAGAACGAGGTGTTTCGAGCACGGCTGAGGCAAACATTGCTGAGAGCAAAGGGAAATTCGACTCTCGAGATATAAGCAAGAGCCGGGGTCGAGATCGTGATAGAAGAGAAAAGTCCAGAGGTCGGTCAAAGCCGTAATATGAGTTGAAAGCTTTTACTGTGGAAAGACAGGTCATAAGAAGTCAGACTGCTGGACTTCGCAGAATGAGGAGAAGAACAGCTCTGTAAAGCCGGATCAGATTATTCCCAAGAAGAGGGAAGACAAGATCACCACTGCGGTGGCTGCCAACTCGGATGCTGAGATATTCTTCCTTGGCGAGGATAATTATTTGAATGTTGCATATGATGACTGCACGTGTATTGTTGACTCCGGTGCCTCCTTTCACGTTACTCCACACAAAGGTTTTTTCTTCTCTTATCGATGTGATGATTTTGGAGTCGTGAAGATGGAAAATCAAGTGACCAGCAAGATTGATG